TTTGTCACTATTGTTCGTCAATCAGGGATTGAATACTACAATAGACATCGATTCCACATAGGCACCTGAAATAAATCTAAGCCCCGCTAAACAAAAGAGGGAGTAACACATCACACTCAGTAGGGGAGGACACAAATTCAAAAAGCATGACAGTTTGGGCAAATTTAGTCTGTATGCCTTTTTGGCGGTATGTTTTTCATTTTAGAGAGAATCTTCAGCGAGTTGGCCTCCGCGAAGCTTGTAGCAGAGAAAGTTTGTTGCGTGTGCAAACTCCAAGGTAGAATATGAAGCATTCAAATAACTGCACCGACAACACTCGAATACCAATGCTAGAGTGCTCCAGCACAATATTCTGATGCGCGAAATCATGTAAATTAAAGAATTTGCTATGTTGATTACCTTCAGCAAAATCAAATAATGAGCAATGTGCAAGGAAACCTTTAACGCATCTGGAAGAAACAAGCAAATATTTATTTATATCAAATGGCAGGCGTCTTGATGGTTATCACTAGCCCTTTAGTTGACTTTCGGCTTCACAGAGGGAGAGGAATATCAAAGTGAAAAAAAAGTCGAGAGTGGGGGGAGGAACGGAAGAGATGTAGAAGAGACAGGCACAAAGGTAGAGAAATAGGTAAAATGAATACTGTGAAAGTGGCCGAATATGACATACAGTGGGGTCATGGTAGTTTGGAGTCAGAAATCAACTGCCAGTTGTAGGCGTTTTTGCCGTATGAATATACGTTGGGCAGGGTGCACCACGTGGAGGTAGGTCTATTGCACACCCCCCAAGCAAATATTATTTTGTTAAAATTACACCTAACACTCCATTTATATCCAAACACATCACAACTGACCATTCGCTTATGAGGATGACATCGGTTCCAATAGCCAATTCAACGATCGGAGAATTTAAAGTTGAGATATAAAAGTGAATGTAGTCACATAGAGTGGACTCATATGAGCTTTGCAAGGCCAAATTATTTGAACTGATACTAAAAGATAATATTTACCCACCCAATTTATTCAGCAAACACAAAACTCAACAAATATGAACTCCATAGAATTCTGAAAGTTGAGCAATAAAACATATTGAGAGTTCTGGAAAATGTGGATGACTTGTTCAAACCAGAATTCAATTGGTCTGATTTGGTCAAAGTCTATTTCATTTTTTTAGCCTTATCATTTTGTATTTACCTCAAGTACACAAAAAAATGTGGCAAATTGGAAGGGAAATTTAATGGTTAAAATTTATAATTTGAGTACTAATATTTTGTCATTCACTCTTTCAAATGGAAGAAAATAGAGGGAGAGAGAGAGGTTATCAGTGAAGAAAATCAAATTTTGAATTCTTTTCAACAAAAATATCTGGGGACTGCTCATTGCTCAAAAACTGGCACAGGCGCGAGATAATTCCTTAAGATTAGATAGCATAAATAGACGCATGTCAATCAACCCATTTTTTATCAAACGAGGAGGGGGGGGGGTCGGGGAG